CAGCAGAGCCATCCCATGCAGGACATTTAGGGTGCCTTCTCAGTGAGGCCTGTGCAGGAGACTTCATTAAGGAAATATTTATGACAGGTAGGTTTATAGGTTTGTCTTTATCAAAGCCATACTTCTTTTTCCCATTTCCCTCTTCCTCTTTCTCCTGGGTGTCTCCTCCTCTCCCATCCTCCTCATCTGCAATCCCCTTGCTTCCCCTGCCAGTCAAAGGTTTTGAAACGTGTCCTCTTCCGCCTCCAGCTTCCCTCATCTTGATCTCAAACAGCCTCCGGGTTACAGAGAACTTCTGAGCTAGAGCTGCTCTGTCAATATCCATTCTTTCCCCTGCTCTGGAAGGTTTATTTTGTAGAGAAGATTCTGGAATAGAAACGCTGGCCACGGTGTTCAGAGCAGAGGAGGAACTGATGACTGAACATCTGGATCCAGAGAAAGGTGAAGTTTGGAGCAGCACGGTGGGATTTGGGGGACAAAGGAGGGGTGTGAAACAAGAACTCAGCCCTGGACCACTGTCTTGTCTCAGCTGCTGGCTGTCCATTTGGAGAAAGATGTTGTCTCTTATCTTGGATCCTCTGGTGTTGTGGACCCTGCCTCTGCTGCCTGCACTGCCAGTAGTGCTGGTGTGGGACATTATGGGATCTGGCAGGCTGGATGGCAGTGCGTTTGGGGGCACCGCAGAGCACCGGGCAGCAGTAGCATTGGCCCCTGGTTGTAGATTGGTCCCAGTATCAAAAGAACATTTGATGGCATGGAAGTCAGACTTATAGGTTATCCTGTGAGGGGAGGCACTTCGGCCTTTGCTGTCTGTCCGCATCATCTGGACTGAGAGAGCTGGTGGAGCTGAGGAAGAAGCTAATGAAAGCACCTTGTCAAGTGTTGAGCAGGTAGTGGGGTTGCTGGTTCAGTGGAATGGTAGCAGTAAGGCAAGAATTGTGCTCAGTAACAAAGCTGGCGTTTAAGAGGTTAACGCAGTTGCTGGATGACAGCAGGTGACAAAGGCATGCTTCTGGTTTGTAAACTTCATAATCTTGAGGTAAACTTCAGATATTTATTCATAGCCTCCACAGCAAAAGTCTCCTGGAAAGCAGTTTGAGAAAAGACACGGTCTTGAAAATGACAGTACTTTATCTGGGGTTGATCAGCACAACCCCGCGGGTGATAACCACCCAGGAAAACGGTCAGATAGCGCGTTCATGAACTGGAGTTTTAAAGGCTCTTATTAAAGTCAGTAATTTGAAGGCTGAATATACTATATACTCACTGTCGCTGTATGATCAGCACCGTAAAAAAAAAACGTTCCCGGAAGTCGTTTTATTAACCCAGCAATTCCACAGGTATTTATAATTAACCCGTTTAAAGCCTTCTGGACTATCGCTGCTTTCAAGTGCTGTCGGAAAAACAAATTATAAGAGTTTTAAACCAATCACAAATTCCAGACAAAACCAAAACGCAGAGAACACAACGGGGGCACGTGAACGCAACACATCTTATCAACCTGGCTGCAGTGCGCGTATTTTGAAGGTCGTGACAAGCGTCAGGTTGAGCACACGAATGTTAACTACACTGAATAATTAGCAAGCTAATCAGTTTATGACAACAGCAGCTTTATGCTATTCCCAACGGATTCGTCCTACTGTAGAAGTGTTGTTTGTTTGCATTCCGCCGGTGACGGCTCCCTCACGGTGATAAATACAGACAGATGGCGACTTATGTCTCTAAGTACTGCAAACAGATTATCCCTGGTAATCCTGTGTAAACGATTCCAGTAGTTAAGTGTGAATGGATGGAACCGGCGCTGGGACAATGTAGCCCACATTTCAAAGGCCAAACGTTTGCCCTGTAATTTAACGTTATTTATAGAAAGAGGTTTTACTGTTTTGGTCACTGGTTAGGCTACTTCCTGTTTCACTCCAGTGTTGCCACTGCGTTAGCTAATTGGCCATTTGTAGTAAGGTTGGTGGCTAATAAGATACCGGTGACACCATCTATCATAACAAATACGACTTTTATTTCCTGTGTTCCTCCATAATGACCGGTAATTGATATTTTCAGATCGCAGGCTGCACATATAGTTGTAACTTACTACTCCAATATCAAGCAGTAACTCCATCCACTTACCTTTACCTGTCTTTCAGCATCACTGCCAGCGTTGCCATCTGCTGTGAAAACCAGTCTCACTGTGCCAGAGGCTGTCCTGGACTCAGAGGTAAGCTTTGTGTGGACATTCACCTGTGTGCATGATGCGGGCTTGTGGAGTCTGCCACATCGTTCACTATCTACAGTACCTGTGAGTGAAGCAAATAAGAGTAGTGATGCAGCACTTGCTGATGTGTGTGCCTACCTGTCTGTGCGCGATGGCAGCGGATGAGTCGTGCAGTACCTGTGTCTGTGTGTGAAGCTGGCTTTATGGCAGATGGACTGGACCGGACTGATCCACGCAGAGCTGAAGAACTGTTCTGCTTGCTGTGACCTGGATCTAACTGGAGACCACTGTCCCAGGTGGCACTGGGACCTAGTTGATATAAATAGTAGCCAATCATAAAAGTCTACTTCTGAATGAGGCTAACCAAGGGAGGGAGGGAGGGAAAGTGAACTGATGGAGAAGAAGGAGGGAGTGATGTTGAGGTGGATGGCAAAGTAAATTTAAAGAAGTAGAGTCCTCAAGAAAGTGAGTGAAACAGAGCAGATGAAGACAAAGAACGGAGAGAGAAATTGTTAAATACTCAAGGGGTGACAGTCATGAACTAACAGGTACAGACAGAGAAAACAAGGTTCTTTTAAGTCATGGCAGATTCACTTTATTTAGCTCCGCGGTGGTATGATCAGTGGTGAGTAAGATGAAAAATACAGGGACTGGTGTCTGGTGGTATAATCCTCAACTCCAATTTCTCTCACCTGCAGCAGGCCAAGTCTGCACAAGTTTTCTGTCCTTCGCTGGTTCACATAGGGATGATTCTTCAAATTGGTCGCTGACAGCCATGTCTGCACACTTACAGCACTGCCAGTCCGAGATTGTGTACAGTTAGTGTGTTGAGCTGGATGTGTGCATTGCAAGAGGAGGGACAATGGGGTGCAGGAGTGAATTCAATTAAATGAGTTATCACATTTGCTATGCCAACGTGAGAGCTAAATATTTGGAGTCAGGGCCTCCAGCACACTTTCCTTATTTTCCCTAATGACCATTGATTTGAACCTGGCTAATAAACATCAGCCGTTTGCAATAGCTTATCTCAGATACAGAGTTGGGTATTTGTCAGTTGTTAAAGAAGAGTGTCTGACATACTGTATGTTTGAGGTTAGTAAACCTACTCTATTTTAGATCACACATATTTCATGAAATGTTTCATAGGGTCTTGGTAAAATATTGATGTTGCAAAGGAAAAGTCAATCGCCATTTAGTTCTGACATTTTTAACTATCTGATAATATCAGGCTCACAAATTCTGAGTCTGTCTAGCTCTCATACTAATTGCATCTTTCAGCCCTTTTTAAATGACCTGCTGCTACATAAACACTTAATTTAAAGAGTCAGCTGGAGGAAAGGACAGATGCTTTGTTTAGGCTGAGATGCTGCCTGACAGCTGACGATATCAGCTCTGTGTGTGTCACGTAGGCTGTTTGGCAGACAGTCGCGCCCCATATGGTAATCTGTTCAGTCAGCCGTATTTAGAGTTTCCCAGTTTCATGAGGGAATTACTGTCAACCTTATGAACATTCAAATGCAAACACACACACACACACTCGACCCATGGCTGGGATGAACATGCAAGTCAGCAGTTTAAATGAGCAAAGCACGATGTACAGTAACAGTTCTGCAGCTTTGTGTTTAGATGTATGTACTGCATATATATGATGATCCTGTGTAATTTATTAAGTAGTGCTTGGCATTAGCACGGAGCTATGGATTCAGTTGCACTTGATCTTCATCAAGCTGTGATGTGTGTTGGAAACGGGCTGTGTGGGTATTTTGACAGGTAGATGTACGTACATATTTATTTGTTTAAAAGGCTGTGTGGGTATTTTGACAGGTGGAAGACTTGGATGTACGTACATATTTATTTGTTTAAATATCATGTGATTGTCTGACCAATTTGGATCCTTAAATAGAAAGTGGAATGGAACAGTTATTAAAGTTTTTTTAATAACATAGCTAAGTCAGTCAATGAATAAATAAACTGATCACTGTATATGACCTGCACTGACTGATTATCTTTACCTTTGTTTTAGACTGTCTTCTTTAATGAACTCCTTCGTCATTTTCAAGAAAGAACATCTTAAATAGATTACAAAGGGATCACTCCCTTCTTTGAGACAACTGGCAGTGAGGTACCAATATGCTTTATTTTAACAATATGGCAAAAACCTGCTCGATCAGCCTCCAATATTACAGTCATGCAGCTGCAGCAGGTGCACACATTCACACATTGTAATTCACCTGATGCAGTAGAACTACACGTAACCGCTTCAGTGATGCCGGTGTGTGCAGCATAAGGAAAGGAAAAGGAGGACCCATGTTTCAACAGTAATTCTTGTTGTCTCACATTTATCGCACTCCAAATAATCCTGGTCCCCCCCCCCCCTTTCTGTTCGACCTGCCTTGCTTTCCCAGGATGGATGCCTAAATTCCTTTTATACCTTCTGTTCTCTCTGTTTTCCTGCCCCTAGTTTCATATATGTTCCATAGGGTATGGTTTTAGGCAGTGCTGAATGCTCAGAACATCCCAGATCCTCATCATCAAGCATTGTGTAAATTAGCAGCCCATCCGTTTCTCATACTGTCCTGTTGGATCGACTGGATAGACTGCTGAGCCGTTCTTAGTGAAGATACTTTCACCATTATGCCACTTGTCTTGTATAAAGTGTAAAATGTATATGTTTCACATATTTCAGGCCAACGTCTTGCTGCTTCCTAGCCCTCCGTACCCTGGATAGTGACTTGTGTTCAGCAAAACCAACTGGGTAGGAACGACATCTGGTCGGGGTGGATCATTGAATAGGTTTTCACCGCAAGGTTCAGAGAAAACCTCCACAGTTTCTGTGTGCATGGTTCCCTGTTTTCTCACCAAACGTGCAAGTGTCATGTGGAGCAAGGTCATAACTTTCACTGACGTTTGCAGCTTCCCACCAGCAATGGGCTATGTGATATGCACTGCCTTTGTAATCTGAGTACAACAGATTGAACTTTCACCCCAATTATGGATTGCTGAGTGCAGCACACATCTAGCCGGCCCTTTTCACAGCTGACAGTTTGACTTATCATAGAAGGAAAAGCAGAGTTGTTATTGTCAACACTCTTCTTTCTCTGTGTGCTTGACCTCCAGCATCCTTCTGGTGTCTTCCACCTTCTGCTTGGTTAGGGCCAGTGGCCCTTTTTAATAGGCCCCTGTCATTCTTAGTGGCCTGTCACACATTTTGTTGGCTTAGTGTTTACACCTGGATTACAGTGTGTTCATTGACTTGAGTATACTGTAGTGATTGCATGTATTTGCTGATTGACCACAGAGTGTAAAACTGAATGAAATTCAGCCATCGCTCATTTTATTTACATGTGTATTATTCTGTGGCCTAAGTCAAATAGAAACCGTGACATTCCTTTAAGATACACCGCTACTGATGGTTTCTGTGAAGCATGCACTGCAGTGTGTGCAGCTGCCCTCAAAAAAAAACAAAAAAAAAACAAAAACCCCGTGGAGGCAGACGGACACCAGTCCTCTGCGTGTCACGGTGAAGACAGCGGCAGCCCGTAGTGGTGTGAGGCAGCTCGAAGCAGAGGGGCGGGGAGGGGGCGCAGCCGAAGCTCACATTCATTAACGACCACCGACAACCGGGAAGCCTCCTCCGGTAGCATCATACAAGGCGCGGAAGATGGTCGCGGTGCAGATGTCTCCTAATTCATCTCCGTCGGCGGAGTGGATCTGCTGCCTGGATAAAAGGTGGGTGAATACACCCCGACGCACACTTCCACGCCGTACATCCACCTCTAATTTGGTGTTCTGAGCCCTGTTTCATTCATCCGCGTCAACGTGATTAATCAGAACCGGCGATCGCTGCGTGTGTGCATGTGCGTGTGATAATGTCACGACAACCGCTGTGTTGTTATTACATTACAGGTATTTTCAGTGAATATATGTAACCCTCATCCAGAGGTGGTAAAGGCTGCAGTGTACGACAATGCGCACCCTATTGTGTGTTTTTCTAAATTCCTGTTTTTGGATTTCTGGCTCAGAAAGGCGTTGGTGGCTTCGAGGTTCACTGGGATGTCTCTGCACTGCATGGGCTGTGGTGCATGGCTGCTCAGACGCACATGGTTCCTCTGTCTGCTTGAGACAAATAGCTTTACCTTTGATTGCTATCATGGTGCAAATGTAGGAGTGTTTTCTTCATAATAGGGATTAGATGCAGGCATTGTTTTTTTGCATAATGCTGCATGTGAGGCGGTGTTTGTCTGGTCTGAGCCATGGACAGGTCTTATCCTCACTTCAGAAGCTGATTTAAGGTTTAACTGGTATTTAGAAAACCTTTTAGTCTATACTGTACCTGTCCAGCAGACAGAGAGGTCCTATGTTGTCAGCATACTGAAGGCTTAAATAAACAGGAAACCTATACGTTAATTACTGGTAATACATCTATGTCTATAACAAACAGTGATAATATAGAAGACATGCATCCGGCAACTCATACACCCATGTATACTATACACACCTTACTGTGCCACATCTTCACGTTACTACTGGCAACCTGAAGCCATAATCTTCACCTCTAATAAGACTGAATGCATGATCTATAGACAGTATACTGTTGTGTGTAGGGGCTGCAGCTGAAGATTATCTTCAGCACTTTGCTGATTAATGGTGATGATGGTCTATAAAATGTCAGAATAATGACAAATGACCTTGGTGGTTTTCTACACACCAAAGTGATGTCCTCATATTGCTTCTTTTATGCATTCATTTTTTAACGCTTCTGTTGTTAGAGTTAGAATATTTGGTCAAATATAATATGAAACTATTTGTCCACTAGGCTCTAGTAGTGTATCTAAAATGTAGCCTACAAGCAGAAGTAGGTGGATGTCAGTAAGTCATGTTTAGGCTGGACAGGATCTTATTCTAGTGCTGAGTGCATCCTAGCTATGCACCTCTCATCCAATCAATATCTGTGTGTGTGTGTGTGTGTGTGTGTATATTAGGAGCTTTCATCTACAGGAACTGTTGATGTGAGCAACTGAAGAGTAAAAGACCAGGGTGGAAGAAATACTGAGGTTAAGATACGACTGTCTCCGATATATCTGTCCGAACATGTTTATTGCCAGTCACTGAAGCGTGCGAGATAAGATCTGATTTGTTATGTTCAGTGTTGCTCCAGGCAGGCAATGGAGGGTCCAGTCAACACACTCAACACCGGTCCAGATGCCAGTTGAGGTTTAATGTCCCTTTAACGCAGGTAAACAGAAGCACAGAGCATTGCGGAACGTGCACACACTTTCATATGACATAGTTACAGTAAGTCCAAAACAAACTGAGCAAGACAAAGCAAGTCACAGATATGTAAATGCTGGGTGAGTAATTTGGTGTGTAATCTTTAAACAAGTAAACAGTAGAGTGAGTGGCGTATGCTGATTAATATTCTGTGTTTCTAGCAGGATCTCAGGTTGACAGTGAGGCAGATGGGTGCTGAAACAACGTTGTTTTCACAGTTTAAGAGTAATGTGTTAATGTGCCAGCTCAGGATATCTGTTTGTGTTGAGGCTGTCTAATATTTGGGTTTGCTGCCATAGATCAACTTGTGATTTGTCTGGAAACACTGACATTTTCCAGATGGATGTTTCTAAAACAATCTGCGGAACCTTCTGGTGTGTTTTCTTTTCACTGTGTCTTCTTGTTGGTTTGAATGTCCTGCTTGTGCGTTTGTGTGTTTAACCGTAATTTGTGGCTAAAAGCTGACCTCTCAGCTGTTATGAACTGTGGCTGGGACAGGCAGAAGAATGAGAAGTCGAAGGAGAGAAGGAGGGGATAGAGATGAGGTGAACAGCTCTCAAGCCTCACACCAACAGTGGGAGGCAGATTCCTCTGGACTGGCAGGGAACGAGCAAGCACATGACTGACAGAGGAAACCAGACAAACAAAGCTTTAACCAGGGCATTCTAACTGAGAGATGAAACGGTGAGCGGTGATACTGGTCTTACCCATAACCCAGCAGAGTTAACCTCCCTGTTTCTTCCTACTGAAGCGTGTGGGAGTCCACCTGTCTAAACCATTAACCCAGCCTACACTGGGCTGTGATGCTCTGTCGGAGCACGAAGGGCTGACACACAGGCAATGGTTGCATCATGGGAGTATGAGTCAGAGACAAAAAAAAGAGAAAGAATGGTCTTGGCAGATGTTGTGGGACTGGGAGATGTGTGTGTGTGTGTGCAGCCTTTTAGGGTGAGGCTGTGTTCATCTGGGAGTGCCATCCTGGCTACGGGGGACAATCTTATTCTCAGGGATGCAAATAAAATGTGTATTTCTCACTGTATGAATGTGTGTGTGTGTGGACGAAGGAGGAGGAACCCGATCCTGCCTGTGTGGTTGCAAAACAAAACAGGGATAATAAGGCAAAAGTTATTAGTGGGACTTAATGGATGAAGGGAAAAGTGAATGTGCCATTAATGGAGAGGAAAAAAATGGGTAGCTCATTTGTTCTTTTCCATCTTCCCTATAATGTTTCTGAGAAAAACTGGGAAGTCTTTAGACAGGAGAGGAGAAAAATGGATGATATTAGAGAAATGTTTATTGGAGGTAGACAGAATGGAGAGCTGGGAGTAAGGGAAGATGGGAGAGCTGAATGGGGAGATGGGATAGCCTCTCATCTGTGAAGGAGGAGCCCACAGTGCAGTAGCTAATCTGTGTGTGTACACACATGCAAAGATGATTCACAAGCAAAGGGAGAATGAGTGAATAAACAGTTCTAACTGCAGTGTGTGTGTGTGTGTTTGTGTGTGTGTGTTACTCTGAGATGTTTGGCTCTGTGGTGTGTCACCACCATATTTTGGAGCAGAATGTTTAAGCTCTCAGATCAGACTCATGTTTGTGTCTGTGTGAATGCATACGTGCCCAATGGAGATGTGCTCGTGTGTGGGCGTGTGCGCTCAAATTTAAGTGTATTAGAAATAACAATACAAATGAGGTCTTACATCAACACTCTGTGGGGGGTCTGAGCTGAGAGAAGTAACGCCTTCGCCTCTCCACTGTCATCACTAAGACACCGGGCTGAACGATGAAGCAGCGCGCTCACACACACGCACACACAAATGCTTTGATGACACTGACACCTAGAGCCGTCTTTTAACTTAAAAGACAATGCCACTGGTTTTTCATGTTTTAGTTCATTAACTGCCAACCCCTCTATAACATACTGTAGATTGATTTCCTACCCTTCAGGCAGAAATGTACTCGCTTGAGTCGGATAATCCATCACAGTAAACAAGTTAAACATTTTGCAACACTACTGATATGGTTTTTTTAACACCGAATGCAGGATCTTATGTCGAGTCTTGTCTGCACAGGCCCTCAGAACGCTCAGGAGAGGATGTGGACATCATTCTGACCCGACTGAGAGAAGTCAAAGCCTTCCAGAGATTCCCACCTCCGCTCTTACTGCAGATCTCTGCCTGTGCCTTTTATGAATGCCTGGAGAAAGGCATCACATGTATGTACACAGAAATGCACAAACATACCAGTACAGTTGGATTCTAAAATAGTATGGATTTGGTTTTGTGGACACTTTGATGGTAAATGCTTCTGATGCTCAGGCTGACATTGGCTTTGTTTAGTCAACCATAAAGCATGATTATGCTGCAGAAAGTCCCTTTGCTGTTTCTTAGCACTGTTTGAGGTATAATGCATTGGGATGCAAAAATACTGTGATTATTGTAATTCATGTGCACACGCCTCCCCACACTCAAATTATGGGTAATCATAGGATATCATCGGTGTTACATATGAGGCCACAGTTATGGACAAACCCCCATAGCGCTTCAACTAATAACGATTTAATTGTTGTGTTATCTGTCAGGTTTTTCTAATTAACATGTTGGTCTATAAACTTGGTAATATAAAACATGTGTTGTAATTTCCCTGAACATAAACTCATGTCTCGGAGTAGTTTTTGTTTGATTAACAGTCCTGCACTCAAAGATATTCAGTCTATTCTCAAATGTTAGAAATTCTGAACGTCCTCAAATTAAAGGAGCTGGAACAAGCAAATTTAGTTGCTTTAGTTGTTGTTTGATCATCAAGATTCTTCTGTTCCTTTTTATTGAGGATAGAAAAAATATTTTCCAACTTTTTCTGACAAAATAGCTATCAAAACACACGTAAGGCCTTGTTAATACACATTTTGGACCATCTTACAGTATGTTACATGGAGACGCTGATTCCAAATTTTTATTTATTTTTTAGAAGAAATAACTTAACTGTGGCAGAGGGGTGTTTGTTTTCACAGGCAGTATGTCACCCACAAACAAACACATATCCATTACCTAGGGAATAGTGTTTTTAATTTTTATGAATGTATCGGTGTTATAATAGTCCAGTGAATAAAAAGTTGAGTCTGTACTGTATCGAATGTATTTGTTACGCTGTCACTTTGTCTGCAGTGTTTCGACAGGGAGACATAGGCACCAGCTGGTATGCTGTCCTGTCTGGCTCTCTGGATGTCAAAGTGTCAGAAACCGCCAACCACCAGGTGAGACTCATGTAGTCAAGTTCAAGTCAAACTGGAGCTGCATACAGTATAAAATAACTTAGTTTCGCTTGTGTTGCTGAAATGAATAATGAATTGAAGCTTTATTCATGGATGCCACTGGGCTCATTCTGTAATTACCACCTCTGGGGTGTTTGTTGGTTTGTTTACAGCATAACTCAAAGAGTAATGAATGGAATGAATTTTTTAGAGTTGCAGGTTATGGTTCATGGAGCAGTTCATTAGATTTTGGTTCTGGTCTGTATCATCATCTGAATCGAGGAAGTTTGTAAAGGATTCTTCACCACTGTGACTGTTGGAAAGGTTGGTGACTGTATGTATGAGCCCCCCTGTGACCAAAGTGCATGGGTGCACTGTTGAGCACTTAGAGGAACGTTGGAAAATGGTGGACTTGCACGCAGTCAAATGGTGCAAGTTGTGTGCTACTATGGACTTACAGTATACATTGTGATGTCAGTCTGGATGGGACATTTATTTAGAAATAGCTTGTCTATTGGTTTCCTTGAATAACTTTCAAATTGATAATGATATCAATGTGATTCTAAATGCGAGTGGTAGGTTTTCATGGTCAAAGAATCATACTATTTCTATTTATTTTTAGACTTTTAAACACTTTTATTGGCCAAGTATGTTACACACACACATGCACAAGGAATTTGACTCTGGTACAGAAGTGAGGCAGTCATCTGTGGCGGCAACTCACACACACACGCTCACCGATAGTGGCAATGTCCCTGCAAGACATTGCTCTGGCCATCGGGGGCAACTTGGGGTTCAGTGTCTTGCTCAAGGACACTTTGACATGTGGACTGGGGAGAACGGGAATCGAACTGGCTGTCCAGTTAAGGGACGACTGCTCTACCTCCTGAGCCACAGCCGCCTGGATCAAACTGTAATGGGAACATTGTGTTTAGGTGGACTGGCATCATGGGGGCAGTGAGCTGCCTTGGTGGAGGTTTGTTTTGTCTAGTTTTCCACGGCTGCCTCTTTCCTCTTGTACCATAACTTTCTATGTCAAGACGCAGACTGCTCTGTAAGTGCTCCTCTTCTTCGAGAGCTGGTGCTGCATGACTCTTCAATGCTGAAGTTGTTCTAGAACATTAGCTCAGGTCTCTCTGTGTAAATGTGCTAGAACAAAGCTGCTGCAGCACAGAAAATGAGAGTTGTGCTTTTTGCTACAATTGATACCATTTATGGGTTATACTGTACATAGAGAGAAGAATGACACATTGGAGAGGACTGGCTCCCAGTGAATGACAGAGATAAGAAGCCCCTCCATTATAAAATATCCCTTTCATGTACAGTATTTAGCCCTAAACTGTCGTTAGTGGCCTAGTTCATGGAGCTGTGCTTGAAATGTAAGTTTGCGCAGCTGAAAAGTTTTCCATGGTATGCAGAATATTTGTCTAAATCAGTAGAGAACATGGGTGTAGATGTTTATCTGTGTTTGCTTGTGTCTGGCTTGTCCAGTTAAATCCAGTATCTCAGATCTTTTCTTTCAGGAGGATTGTTTATTGTCCATTTTCATAAAGCAAACCTTACAATATATCATTTAGCTTCTGCTGTATAGTGTCTGCATCAAGTAAAAGAAAATTAATCATCATCTGTACTGATCGTATTTTTTCAAGTATCAAAAGTGGCTACTTTTTGTGTTAAATAAAACAGAAGATACACGCACGCACAAGGAATTTGTCTCCAGTACAGAACCAAAGCAGCCAAGTGCAGCACCAACTCACAAACACACACCAATGGTGGTGCTGTCCACCGGGAGCGCTTGGTGTTCATTGTCTTGCCCATGGACCCTTTGACATGGACTGGGGAGAACAGAAATCGAACCACCGACCATTGGTTGGAAGACTACTGCTATACCTACTGAGCCACAACCTGACAGACAAAAAAAATGATTGTCAGATTAATCAATGATGAGAGTAATTGTTAATTGCAGTCCTAGTAAAATCACATCTCAGCACTTCACTATGTAGCCATGAGCAGAACCAGTATAACTGACCATTTCTCATTACAATAGGGCTTATTTTAAGCCTTAAATTGAAACCTACTGACTCAAACACATTTTTTTTTCTGTAACAAGCAGTAGTTTAAACGGATATGTTTTGTTTGTGCACAGGATGCAGTTACTATTTGTACACTGGGGATTGGGACGGCGTTTGGGGAATCCATCCTGGACAATACACCACGCCATGCTACCATTGTCAGCAGAGAGATCAGCGAGCTGCTCCGCATCGAGCAGAGGGAGTTCAAGAGCCTCTGGGAGGTGAGAGACAGAGTGTGTTTAAGGCTGTACGTATGTAACTGTGAATATGGGCTGGGATGATGATGATTCAGCATGGACTCTAAATGTTTCCAGGAAAGAGCTTAAGGTTTGTGTGTGTGCATGATGTGGTGAATGAGAGCACATCAGGTGGTCTTGAATCCACCTCAAGGACTGCATGACTGAATCATGTCCTGCCTCCTGTGCACTGTACCCAGATGCCCCATCGCATAAACCAAACAGTGGGTGAGAACGCGTCTGACAGTGGGCTACGTCTTGCTGTGTGCTACATGTGTGAAAGGGCAACCTCTGGACCCTCTGGGTCTGATTCTGTGAACATAGTCCGGAGTTCATGTGTGAAAACTGCTTATGTGCAGTTTTTTCCAGTAATGATTTGGCATTTGAGACGATAACCTCTCATAATTTCAGTGTTAGAAATATTGATCGAATCATGCATCATTTAGCACATAATAAAGGTTTTGTTTATAAAAAGCAGGTCTGTCCTTTTGACATGATTATACCACGTGTTATACTTGTTTAAAATTTTGTAGAGCTCAATGTTAAGACGTAAAAGACAACGGTATTTAAGAAACTGTTTTGTTACTATTAATATTTCTGTGAATTGCTTTTCCTGTTTGTCCCGTTCTTAAAAATAAATGCTCTTTTGGTGCCTTTACTGCTTTCAGTGTCGGTTCAAAACACATCCAGTCATTTTTGTTTTTTTATATGACCCCTTCATTATTGTTATTATTACTAGATTAATAGAGATTTGTTTTGATGAAATGAGAGATCTCCTTTTTTGCCATAGGAAAATATATTATAAAATCAAGTTATGACAATAAATAATTGGTTGTTATAGCTTGTGTCCTGTTGTGTAATTGGGCCTGTAGTGCATTTATTTGTGAGGTCAGTGCACTCCCTCTCCGTGTCTATTTTAGGACTGTCGACATAAATCAGAAAACATAGCCTGAGGTCATTTTCTTTTGAATCTTATTCTGCTCATAGTAAATGGATCTTTGTTTTTCATGTTCGTGTGTGCGCATGGACTAATTTGTGTGTATGTGCTTGTGTGTGGTGAAGACTAGAAAGCTGGCATGAATGCAGTTGTGCGTTTGAAGAAAGGATGAAAGATTAAAGTGCTGCCCTGTAATTCTAACACCTAGTGACAATGAGGTGAATAAACAGGGTGTAAAGGTAAACCGACGTGTTTCAGATTTGTAAACATACAACAGTATGTCAGGTAGCTGATGGCTGCAGACACTGGACAAGCCGTTGTTGTAAGTCTTTCTCTTTCCTTATTTGCTCCATTTTCCCCTGCTCGACATTTATCCTGCCCACTTCCTGTCTCCTCTGTTGGCCAGATTGTCTTTTGCCAGCATCCATCCTCTCCTTCCTCCCTCTCCATCTTTAACCTCACAACTCCTTTTTTCCCCTCCTGTGTCTTTTGTCTCTCCCTCCCTCTTCCTCTTCCTCTACTAGAGTAGCTCCGTCGTACTCGGATCACCCTGGTAACCTGTGATGGGAAAGTGGTTTGCTTCTTGGCTCGATTGCAGCGAGAGAGGGAGAGTGAGGGACAGAGGCAGACACTGAGGTGACTGTGTGACAGGAACAGAGAGAGAGAAAGGAAGAGAGCAGCTTGATTTGAGCAGCATGCTATGCAGTGCTGTGTGTGAGAGTTGTAAAGGAGCAGAGGGCAGCTCTCTGGGGCTTCAGTCCCTCCAGTGTTGGGCAGCGTGAGAGTGTGCTATCTCAGGTGAGTCTGATTCCTCATCTGTACCACTGTGTAGTCTGTGCAGTGCA